CTGTAAACGTTTGTCATCGCTTTCCTCCCAAGAAGCAGGCGTCTTTTAATTTCGGGGCTGCTGTCTCCATCTGCAGTGATCATGGAGCCCAAGAAAGTAAAATCTGTCACTGCCTCCATATAAGTTAAATAAGCAGGGAGACAATATACAGCCTTGTCATACTCCTTTCCCAATTTTGAACCATACAGTTGTTCCATATCCAGTTCTAACTGTTGCTTCCTGTCCCACACATAGATTTCTCAGGAGATAGATAAGGTGGTCAGGCACTCCCATTTCTTTAAGAATTTGCCATAGTTTGCTATGGTCCACACAAAGACTTTTGACATTGCGTAGTCAATGAAGCAGAAGAAGATGTTTTTCTGGAACTTTCTGGCTTTCTCCATAATCTAGTGCATGTTAGCAATTTGGTCTCTAGTTCCTCTGCCCCTTCAGAATCCAGCTTGTACTTCTGGGAGTTCTCGGTCTACATACTGCTGAAGCCTACCTTGGAGGATCGTGAGCATAACCTTGCTAGTGTGTGAAATGAGTGCAATTGTACGGTAGTTGGAGCATTCTTTGGCCAAACTTTCCTGTTGTTCCTTTTATTTCTTGACTCCCTACTTTAGCATTCCAATCCCCTAGAATGAGAAGAACATCTTTCTTCGGGCCACACTTTGCCCAGGTCTGCTGAGTAATTCAGCTGTGCTGAGGTACTACATATAAAAGAAGATATGATCTAATATAATGTTGCATGATGCTAGGCTTTGTGCATATCTTACAACAAAAGCCTTTTACAGTTTGACAAGGGAAAGAAAATAATACAAACAGAAAGGACTTTTGATCTATCTAAATTAACTCAATTTAAGGCAAAATACTAACACTTTATTCCAAGTACTGTACTGTTTACATCTCATGTGTGGAGTGTTACTGTTCAAGATACACTGTGTAAGCATGTGCCTTATTTATAACCATTGACCAAGATAAATGGTCTGTAGTACACAAATCTATGTGAGATAGGTGGCGCCATACACTTAACTTTGATGTTGAAAAAGTTTGAATGTCAACAAAACTTAGTGTTCAAGAAAGAGAGTACTGTATTATTCTAAACTCTGGATTTCAGAAAAAAAATTTATTTTTGATATTCAAAATAAGATACACTTTTCTAAATATTACAATGTTTCTGTGGGCCCATCATCTACAGTTGTGTTTAATGCTGTGAAGGAATTAACTGCATTTCTTAACTCAAACAGTCTGATTAGTTTTGTACCTTCAAAGAGATTGAACAATGAAAAAATTTAACCTTTCCAAACAAAATAATCCCATTTCTATTACTAAATAGACAATTTCAATGATGCACACAATGCGTTACATAGTTATTGCTACTATTTTTATTCAAAGTAGTTAAGCATTTAAAATTCACTGGGGTTTTTGTTTGTTTGTTTGTTTTATTTGAGCAACTGTGGTACAATCCTCCATGTAGTTCAATCATACAAACTCCAAGGTGGGAAAAGAGAGAGACAAAATACAAAGGTGCAGTAACCAGGACTATCTGACAGTAGGGAACTTACCAAAAATATTCTTTCAAGTTGATCTTGAATGTCCTTCATTCCTGGAAATGCAGCAACACCTTGAATCATTTCTACAAAAATACATCCGACTCCCCTGCAAAGCAAAGCAAAAGAGAATCCTGGTGTTCAAAACTAGTGGACCACTGCACCAGTCTTCAAAACTTCACTCTTCTGTCAAAAGTTACAAAAAACACTAAGTGCCAGAGATTAATAGAGAATTGCTTCTTTTATCTTTTTAAAAAAATCTTGTTTATTTATTTATTTAGAATATTGGTTCTTAACCTTGGGTTATTCAGGAGTTTTGGACTGCAACTCCCAGAAGCCTTCACCACCAACTGTGCTGGCTGGGGTTTCTGGGAGTTGCAGTTCAAAAACATCAGAGTAACAAAGGTTAAGAACCACTGATTTAGAATACTGGATTCATCTCTCTACATAGTTCTCACCAAGACTGGAATAGGTCAACAAACTGTTCCTAGGAAGCTTTCTTAAAGAAGTAAAACCACTCATCTACATCCTTTAGTACTATCTAGCCTGAATGACGAGAGGCTCCTGATCATTTTGTACAGAAGACGCTCCTGATCATTTTGAACTGAAGACTTTCCCATGAAAATGAAACTCTGTCATCCTGCAGTCAAAAAGAGAAGGGCAGGGGGGAGTGTGTCTCCACCACAGAGTTATGGCGCCTTCCCATTTTAGAGATTAGAGTGGCTGCTTGTAGGAGCCCAGGATTCACCTCCTCTCATTCTAGCTTCATTAAAGTAAGGAATCCCTGGAAATCAAATTGGAGCAGGGGGAATTTAGATCCATACCTACTTCTTGCATTCTTAGTAAACAGAAGTACAGTTAAGACATCATGAGAGAAAACATGGTCTAAAATGCTTTGAATGTTTAAAACAATATATATTAGCAATTTAAAGGAACTGTGAACAAATTCATCTAACCAGAAAAATATCCATTTAGTTAAAAAGACTTAAATATTCTAAAATATAAACTGTACTCCAGTATAAAACTGATTTCAGTATTTAGAATATTAAACTGAGTCTGAGATGTTTCGGGTACAACCCAGCTTTCTATGTTACGCTGCCAAACAGCAGAAGAGTGGTGACATCCAGTAAGAAAGCATTGTATAACCTCCCCCAAAATATTCAGTAATACCATAAATAGTAATCCAGAAAACATTACAAAAGCTGCATAGATCCATTGAAAATTGCACAAGACACCGCAAAACATAACTGAACTGAGTGACAGCCATATGATGTAAAAATGTGTATCCTGTCCCCTCATGACAACAAGCATGACTAAGCCCATTAGTATGCTGTAAGAGCATATGAGGCCATAGTATCCAAACACAACATGTTATTCTCCTTTTAATTTTTCAAGGGTAGTGGCACAACCACAGTCATTAATGAGGCAGAGAAAATAAATATCACATCAATGGCAAATGCTGAGATATGAATTTTAGGTTGCAGAATTGCCCAACAACAGGAAGACATTGAACAAATAACGTTTACATAATCTCTAACTTTTTATGAAAACCACTAACTTCTCTGTAACAAAGCAAAGAGGATAGTCACAATTCAGGTTGCACACATCACACTCTATATTCCTCCCATGTTATGTCAAGGAGAAAACTAATTAGGTGAGTGAATTGGTCACAGCAACTTTATCTGTACTGATATAAATTATTCTTTATTTTTTCCTTTTTTAACAATTCTGATTCCCAGCCATCCTACTGCTCTTAAAATGGCTGAACTGTTTAAGGGGTGTTGTGGTGTCATACTTATTCTTTCAGACCTAGCTGTACTCTTTTCCAAATGCCCATTACTAGAGTTTCCTTTTCACTTAGTGCCACTATTCTGTCTTTTATACCATTCTGCTTAACTGCATGACATTTGGCAGTCATCTTTCAATTTTTAGAATCGATGTTTAATATAACATAGGAACTTTCTCAATTATGTATATTTCAGTTAATTTAATGTTTCTAAATCTTATTCATTTTTTTCCCTTATCACAGCCAATACTATGTTGCTGGGTTTTTTTCTTCTTCTCCTATCTTTCGTTGACTTACATCATGCTCTTACTTTGAGTACACTTGTTTCTCAGCTAAATTTTACCTTCTGTTGTAAAGTCTGTAGCTTACATAGTCTTCCTTACTAACTGGCTCACACACACAGTACCACCCCCTCACATTAACAGCCCTTCACTGTCTCCTGCAGGATTAATTTTAAATTGTTTCCCTCGTTAAACTCCCTCGCTTGATTCTGCATATTTTTTTTCAATGTATCAGGGACTCTTTAACCCTAAAATCGCTTCTACTTCTTAGTGGTCACCTACTTGCCATATAATATGTTTCTGTCTTGTCATTTGTCAATAATCTCCCACTATTTGAAGCTCTCTGTTTCTATGACCCTGTTTATAAAACAGCTGCTTCTTCACCTTGGATTTATTTATTTATTTATTTATTTGATTTATATCCCACCTATCTTCTTCACCATTTCTGTCTTATTTTATGTCCCTTTAGAGCATCACTCTGCAGACAGGATCTCTTAAGCACCTGATGTTTAAGGTGCTTAATAACAGTATATTTTATTATTTTCACCTCTTGAGTTACCTCACAGATATCTCAGTAACCTGAACATGAAATAAAATTATCTCCATGCATAGTAAAAAACTAAGAAATGCACATATCTGACCCAGACACATGCTTTTGTAGACTGGAATGAAGATCTGTAAAATGTTTTTACTTAGACATTCAATGTCTGATAAGTTCTTATCTGTTGACACTAAGCTGCACTCCCAAAGTAATATAAGCATCAGGTCTATGAATAGTCTGCACAGACAGCCTTCCTACACAAAGTTTAAAGTAACTGCATGCAATTAGCAACACACAAAGATTAAAGTCATTGCACATACAGTGATTTGTGTGCATGGTTTAAGTATACTATAGATATACTGTATATGAATATGTACTGGACACAGTGTCAGGCTTGGACTCAGGAGATCTGGGTTCAAAACCCTGCTCTGCCACTGAGGTTATAGAGAAGTGGAAAAAACACTCCTTAGATATTTTGCTTACCTTGAAAGCCTTACTGAGGTTAAGGAAATTGATAGCCAATGCTAATATTATCCAAACAATTAATGATCAATAAGATAACACAATGATTAAATGGCTGTAAACTACTCAATATATCAGACAGTTTTAGCCAAAATATCCAGATCACTGGGCAGGTCCATTACATATAAATACCTAACTGCTCATTATATGTTTCTTCTAATGAACCTGCATGAATTTAAGGTGAGTTTACTTGAAGCCTCTCCTATCCCCATTACAGTACCTTTGCCTGCATCTTTTATGCTATTTATGCTCTGAGAGAAAGTAACATGGTAGGAAGGAGTTGGATAGGAATATGGGAGATAAGCAAAGATATCCATCCCACTGACCCAAATGTCAATGCTGAAGAAAAAGTGCCTTCGTCAGGCCCCTCTGGGTCTTCTATTTGTGAGTATTAAAAGGGTCAAAGCAGGCCTGCAGGTCATTCTCATTATCCTGTTTCCCTCAGCACTTATATTTCTTCATATAATTGAGTTTTCATCTTGTTTTCCCCCTCAGAATGGGACTCAAGTGCTTCAGGAAGCTACAAACCAGGACATGAAAGTAACAGCCATTCCCACTACTGCCTCTCCTCAGACAACATATATTTCCACATTTACAAGTGCAAATAATTTATGCCTTATGCATTTGCATGATTTTCCTTGCAAAACATTGTAGATGTTATTAAAACTATTTTCCACTTTTATTTACTCGATATGGAGTAATACATCATTTTAAAAATTTGCTCCTACAGAAGAATGGAGAACTATTGTCCTTTAAATGTTTTAAAATTATATTGAGAATTGCTGGCTGGGGATGGTGTGAGATATACTGCAACATAATCTGGAGGACTGTACTAGAACGGTTAAACCACATGCTGAAGGGAAACAGATGAACCAAATTTGGCTTTTTTGGTCAATAGTAAATTATAAAACTATGTCAAGGTGCCAACATTCTAACCTTGAAATATATCAGATAACTTTCAACATACACCCTCTTGTGAGAAATCATGTCTTAATTAGTTGGTCTTTAAAAAACTAAATCTGTTTAAAACAATTAAGGATCTCAGCAGTCTCTACAACTCTAATAGTACCTTAATTTTTAAAAAAATAGCCGAAATCCTATCAGTTTATGCATGCATAAGCAAAATCACACAGGTTGCAGCAGAAGGTTGCCACCAGAGAAGGGCCCGAACCACTGTTCGGCAGGTCAGCCACGTTTGGTGCCATGCCTCCACATGTGTTATACAGGCACCACACACTCCCCTCTCCTGCCTCCTCTGTGTGCTTGTCCATTTCCTGGGTGATGTGCGCTGCCCTCCCTGCCTCCCCAGCATGACTGACCACTCACAGATTGCAGCATGCACCTCTCTCTTTTGTCTTGTCCAACAGCTGCCCACTCAAATGCAGCACTGCGGGCTTCCCTACCCTACTTCCTCATCTGAGTGGGCAGCTGCTAGAGGAGAGAAGTGCATGCTGTGATCCATGAATGGGCAGTTGCACTAAGGAGGCAGGGAGGGAAGTGCGCATCACCCAGGGAATAGGTGAACGTGCAGAGGAGGCAGGATAGAGGAGTGTGTGATCCTGTGTAACACCTATGCAAGTGCTGTGTTGAACTTAGCTGAATGGCCAACTGTGGTTCATGCCCACCTCTAGTTGCCACGAATCAACAAGTTGCTGGTAGGATTCCTGATCACAAGCTCAGGCATGCGATGGGGCAGCAATCAGGAAAATGACTGGTAATTTGTTTATTAGAAACAATTCACTCCTGCAACATTGGCAGTTTCACTTACAATTGTGTAAACTGGCAGTAGCATTCCAGCCAACACATTAGACCCAAGAAAATGTTTTTTAACAAAACAAGAATAAATGCCATCTGAAATCTGAGAGCACAGTTTGCTTTTTCAAATATAATGCTTTCACATCACCTCAAAAGATCATCCACTGAAATTCAGCTGACTACCACCTACAAGAATCCAGTGTCAGCATCTTCCCAGAACTTTA